AGAGGCAAAAGCTTCCTATTTGGATTTTTTATATTATTAAGTGTTTGTACACAGATTTCTCCCATCTCACCATTCCCACAACTTGTACTACAGGTCAAAACTAGAGCAAAGGATTGGTCCTACACTGACCTAAAAAGCAATCCTGCACAAATTAAACTAGCTTCCTCTTTTTTTCCTTCCTACAAACTACGTAGCTATGTGTGGGAAAGACGTATTCAGTTATAAGTGTTCCCTTAGGTTCTGTCATTTAATGAATTTATGAATGTAGCCTGGAGAACACTCTTAATATTATCATAACTTTCTTTTTAGCACAGTTAGTGATGAGGGCAACATGCAGCCCTCAAATCACAAGTTAGACTCCACCAGCAGAGGCACTGCAGAAATTAAATTGTCATTCTTATTTTCAAGAGAGTCCTGCAATTCTTCAAAGGAAGATTATCTCAGGGGTAAAGCATCAGCTTGCAATTTTAAAAGCCACAGATTTCACGTGATCCATGACAGTCATCTTCAGTTTTCCATAGCCAGAGACCTCATCATTAAAAAAGGTGAATCAAGCATTTATTTTACTTTCTTTCCTATTTTTATTTATCTTGTGGTTTCTTTTTCTTTGACGTTTGCTTAAATACGGTCCTAATATTTTTTTTGAGGTCAGGAAGTGTTACCATAATTCAATTAAGTTTTAAAAATATTGATCTCTGGAGAATCAGTTATGTTGATGTCATAAGTCTTCTTCCCTAGACCTCTACATTAATCCCTCATTTCTACAGATACTATTTTCTCATTTTGCTAAGTCATCACATAAAGTACCAGTCACCTAAAGCCAAAAATGATAATGGGTGATAAATTCTGAGAGACAAATTCTTCTAAGATGAAACAGCACTCAGTAAGCTCACTGAACTGTACTGTAACATACCTGCTGCAATTGCAAAGGAACAATGCAAGACATAACTACATAAATAAAACTACAATGAAATCCACCACAGCTGAAGTTTTTGGAATCGTATTAGCATTCGGACTAAACAAAGTAAGCAATGGGTGCAGTTATTCCAAGCAAGTATTGTCTACATTTTTTTCTTTAAGTACTATTCGTTAAATTCCAACAGAATAACAACCTTATAGTATTTATATAACAAAAACCTCTTGCTGTGGCAAAAGCAGCACAAGTGACAATGGCATAGCATTTGCTAACTCAAGCCACTCAGGTTAGTGAATTCTCTACTATCGGGGTCCCACACATTTTCATGGCTATTCTTAAGCTTTCTAGTAAGTACTAGTATGCCTCAAATAAAACTACCAAGTTGTCAGTTGAAAAATAAACTAAAGGAGAGTTTTCTTCACACAACACAGTTAAGTTATGGAACTTTGTGTCACACAAGATTTCATGATAAAAATTTGCCAAGGTTAAAATAAAACATCTAGGAAAATTCATGTAAAGAAAAAAAAGCAACAGAAGTTATTAGCTATACGTTGTCTGAAACATGAACTAATGAAGATTAGGAGATTTTCTTTTTTTAAAATACTTTTCTGTATATATTTGTTATTGGCCATTATTCAAAACAGGACATTGGAGCAGACATACCTTTGGTCTGACTCATTAAGAATATTCTTTTAGTTTTATTGAACATTACTTCATCTTGACCTTTAATGACTTACCATCTTCATTAGTCCCGCTATTTGTTCATGACTTTCAGTGTTTGGGATATATTTTCTCTTTAGGCAACATTTTCCAAATATCTAACCTAATTGCCTTCACAATTGCTGATTTATGACCCTGTCAGGCAGCAGTACACCATTCCTTAAATATTGTGTCTCATTTTCATACACAGTTATTTTAAACTGATCAGAGATTTCCTGAAGATTTTTCTTCATCCGATGAACTTTCTTTTTCGCTTTCCAACTATCATGATAGGTATTCAGGCTTCTACCTCAATGTCATCTTTTTGTCTCCACTGTTGCAAGTTTTCCAGTTCCTCTCCTCAAAATTGTATCAAATTTTCAAATTCAATATCATCAAATGTTTCCTCACCTCAATATTCATATTTACTAACAGCCCTTAAGTCCAGGTTAATTATCTCTTGCCTTAACATCTTTCTGCCTCCCAAAATGTTACTGCTGAAATATTCTCCATTCAGAAAGGGAGAATAGTCAGTTTTTTGCCTATTTACATTTTGTAATCAAACACTTCTTCCCCTGTGCCCAGGTATACATTGTCAGACAGGAGGAACACTTAGCTACTTGACTATTTCATACATGTTAAGTATCTTTCTTGTCATTGATTTATTATATATCTTTTTGGTCAGAGAGAGGAAGAAAACCTACAATTCTAAAATAGAATTAGCTGTGTTTAGTAAAGACACATTGACAGTGCTCACATTTTACCATACACTTTTAATATTTACATTCTATTTCCAAGTATGAAGATAAGAAAAAAAACCCCTGACCTAAAAACCCTACAAATTTTGGATATGAAAACACTTCATTTGAATTTTCCAGAATCAGTAAGAAAACCCATGTCTTTGCATATTGTCAAATATTTATTTTGAATGAGCTTAGCACTACCATTTGTTTTTTTACACATAACACAACATGTTTATGTAATAAGAAGAAAAAAGAAGGGACAGCTAACTCTTGAACAAGCTACTTCAAAGGCAATTTAGTATTTCTGTGGGAATATTTGACAATGCTTTGCAAAACCATGCTTTCTAATCTTTAAATGCATACGTATGTTGATATAAGTAATTTTCAAAAGTCAGTCTGTGGTTTACGAGCAATTTTTTTTCTTACTTATTTTAATTGCAGTAAGTTATGACATCAATAACCACCAGATTCACTACGGAAAAAGAGAAAGCTCTTTGCAAAGTGAAAGCTACCATCAGAAAAATGCTTATTTCTCTGTGGAAATGCACTTAGAAAGCAGATACTTACTAATTTATCTCCATAGACTTCTAAACTAGACATCTTATGTGGAAAAGTTTATAACAATTTTAACTTTGGTGGTGTTAAGTAAGATATACAGCAGCTATTCTCACCTCAGCAATCATCCTATTGGTGTCTCCAAGGAAGAGTAGGTTTAAGGCTTCCTCTTCATTGGTTGCTTGCTGAAGAGACAAGTTTTTCAGATGAATGTTCTGATCAGGGTCTTCCATTATTGTCACTTTTCTATGTGGAGAAAAAAGCAAAACCAAAATAAAATCTAGGATTGTTGTAAGGAAATCTTTGTTCCACACCACGACAATATTTTATTTTGATTATGCCTAAAAGGTGACATCTTAAACCCCAAATCAGCTATAATAAAAGTACTAAAAACACGAAGAGCAAACAATACGCATTAAAGGAAGTGCTGACTTTAAGCTGTCACCTTCTTTTTATTCCTTTACTATAAAATTCCATATATATACATTTATACACACATATATACAACCTATAACTATTAGAGAAATCTTTGGCATTTATTTTCTAATAAGACACAATAAAATCTCAAGAACAAGAAGTTGGATTAATGATGACAAACAAATAATAAGTAGAGGCTTGTTTTCCATTAACACAGCTATTTAAACACAAATAATACATAAAGCATACTGTAACCTTGATGAACAAATAGGCATGGAATATATTTCAGAATCAACACATCTGTAGCCAATATGTTTATAATAACTTTGCATTTGTCAAGATTATTTCTCTTTTCACTCTTCTCAAATGGTAATAACTACAATGGCGAATGATCCCTTTTGTAAATTAAAAGCAAACAAACTATTTTATTTATTGTCACTGAGGTTAGAAATGCTTTTAATTGTACTTTAAGCCTTAAAGTTCAGAAAAAGGAAATTAGATGGAAGTATCAAGGATATGGCAAAGGCTTCAGAAAAGCTACTTAATATTATCAAAACTCCTTTTCTCTTATTTAAGTAACCCTTTTACATAAGATTTTTTTTTTTTTCTTTTGATCGGGTTACTGAGGGTTAAACTTTATTGGCTTTAGTGAGTTGCCATTAGGGTGTCCTCTGTTAGGACATTCTAGTATCTGACATGGAAGCCAAGTAGCTGCATCACTGGATTTGGAAATCTCCTAGAGTAAAAATTCTGTTAAAATCGAAGTACACTAATTTTGAAGATGAATGACACGTCCTTTAAGATGACTTACATGTTCTGGAGACAGTTTACAAGCAGCAAATTGCAACTTTTTAAAAAGTTAGAAATTTTTTTTAACATTTTTTTCCTTTAAGTGTAGGTGATACTTTATATATATGTGTGTGTATATATATATATGTATGCACATATAAATACATGTTTGCGGTTTTTGTTTGTGGTTTTTTTTTTTCCATAATCTTCAAGATTAACCACAAGAGGGAGTATGGGGCTTGAGTTGTTATCTCTAGATAGTACTTGCATGTTAATTACTCCAACCTACTTCAAAATCACACAGGTTGGTTTTTGTTCTGCTTTGCTTGTCTTTCTTTACCCAAAACTGAGAGAATCAAATCAAACAGCTATGCAGCATTCCATAGTATTGATCTTAAGTATTAAGGAAGTAGTTCGCACTCAGATGGTCAGAACATTGGAATTAAGATACAGAAATAATTTAAACACATTGCAATATACTCCCCATTTGCAAGAAAAAAAATACATATAAAAGTACATATAATTCTTTAGTAGTCATAACAAGTGTGTTTCCAAGTATGACTGCTTCCCAACTAAGGCCTTATTTTTATGTGATAGGGTAAGAGCAGTAGTCCAGTCATGAAAACCTACTTCCCCATTCAGAGCATAAACCCAAAAGCAAAATTTTGCTCTCACATAACAGTTTTGATAATGTCAAGTTATTTTCTGCCTTCAGTTCCATCAGTGTATGTATCACATGCTAAAGCCCAGAGTGGTTCCCATTACAGTATGATTTTGACTAGTTTTCATATTTTGAAATTACATGGTGAGCATCATCTACCCCTTTTTTTAATTTAGGAAAACAATGTTGTTTTATTATGCACACTTGGCAATAGTATTTAAACTTTTAAGGATCTTTTCAGACTACATTTTAACCAATGTTATATATGATTTCCAGACAAGACATTAGTTTGGACAAAAAGCTCTGGAAGACTATTGTATCAGAAAGGAGACAGTGGAGAGGCCACAAACCAGTGACAGCCTCCTATACCATGGCCTTGCAGCTCCTAGGAGGATTTCCACATGGAAGCCTGAATTTGCACATCTTGAGAAGCACCTGTCAAAACTTTCTCAGAAAGACTTTCCAAAATGACAACAAAATTATTTATTTTATAGTGCTATAAAGTTACTGTATAATATGATAACAGATTTCTGTGGAACATTCTATTAGTGAAATCTTTAAATTTCATAGCCCTAACTTAGATCTTGGAGCGGAAAAGCTCTGTTAAGTTATCCATAATGACTGAAAGAAGGCAGAAACAAGGTTTTGTATTCTTTACAAGCAAAGAATTATTTCCATTTGGTTTAATGGAATTTGGGGCTGTCTGGGAAACCTGTAGGATGGGATCAGCCTTTTTTATACTGTTGTTAACTCAGGCGCTTTTCTGCTTCAACTGAGCTGCCATTAATGCAAGAGCGCCTTATACACTGAATTCTTTCATTTATAATATTCCTGTTACTAACAAACAATCAAGTTAAAGCTTCCCTTGATTAATTCATTTCACCTCATAAATAATAATAATAAAAAAACTTCAAAGATTTTTGAAAAGAAATAATAATTTAAAAATTCAAACTTCCTATAATTTTATCTGCCTCTGGGGTTTAAAATTGAAGAAATCTAAAATAATCTCAAAAACTTTATAAGCATTTAAAAATAATGATGTAAACAAATATTATATGAGGATACATATCTTCTATGACAATACATTAGCAGAATATAATGATACTACTTCAGCATGAGAAGCCTATACAGTCAATGATAAAGTTAGGAAAAAGATAAAAGAGAAAAGCAGCAAGCATGAATCTTGGAGTCTGTCCAGAACAGAATAAACTAATGGATAACTATAGTTAACCTTTGTGTAAAGTTGCAAGGAGCTTTAGGTTTTAAGAAAAAATGACCATCATTTAATATATAATAATAATAATAAAAAAAAATCCTTCAGAAGTATAGCTTCCCGAATACCACATCAGAGGACAAAGTCAACACTGATTGAAGAGGCAAGATTACAAAGTTATCCAGCTATTCAGCACAACTTTCAATAGCCCAGAGATTTGATTTCCCATTTAAGTATAGTCCTAGAGCATAATCTCCTTAGCTTGTGAGACATGACAGAACTATGAGATGAGTAAGTATTAGTGCAGTCTGTTCTTCTGACACATCACTCTTCTGACACATCACATTGTACTAGGAAATCTTTCCCACAGCCTCCAAAAAATTCTACATGTGAGACAAGAAAAACAGTGTGCTTGTTCTAGCTTGCATACTGATTCTGACTGACAGACTGTTGCACATTTAGGAGTTAGTGATCCACGTAACAGTTAACCTGAGCAGGCACAGCCTGTGCTGTGCTGCATGCAGTGTGGCATTCAGGCCTGTGTCCTGCTGCACAGACCCCTTGGCTGCAGAATAAATTCAGCAAGGCCATTAAGACTTGCAGGCAGCTCCCACCTAGTCATCACACCCTGTGTGGCCTTGCCTTTATCAAAAAAGGCCACAAGAAGTTCTCATGAGAACACCTTTTAGAAATGGAGCTGTTTCCTTGTAAGGAATTATATTATAGCTTGAATGGATGGCTCCTGTCTCTCCATGAACAGGATCTGTGCTGCTTTGCACAGTGCGCCACGGGGAAATCCATCCAGGCTCCACTCAAAGCTGCATGAACACAGAGGGGTGTGGGGGCAGCATCTGATGGGATTTAAGGTTTACTTGCCATCTATACTCTTTATGCTGTCTTATTAGAGCAGTTACCTTGCAAAGCCACCTGTCGTCAGGCCTTTCTTACTGAGACCTGAAAAAAGCTCTGCACTGTCTCTCTCTGCCCCCTCTTCCTACCCTGCAGAACAAGGAGTCGGAACTGAAACAATTAAATTGGTGGGTCGTGGACAAACAAAACATATAAGATCTGTTAGAACTGGCAGGCAAGTGTAATGTCACTCACAAAAAGTGTTTGCTAAAAAATACTTTGATATACAAATGTAGCCTTGAACAGCACAGTAATGATATAACCTGAATCAATTTACTCATCCAATGTGTTTAGAAAAGTGACTTTAGAAGAGTTTCATTCACTTCTTCCTATTGTTTTTCAGGGAACAAATCAACATAAAATCTGGATACGAATAACTTCAGTATACATTACGTATTATTTTACACATCTCTGAAATGTAATGAACAAAACAATCTTTGAAAAATTATTCATAAGTTTTCAGATATCTTTTCATTAACAAACAGAAAACCTTGTATCTGTAAACCTTTTTATTCTCTTAATCTTAGTGTTTTCCAATAACACATTGAGCACTCTTCATTTTGCAGAATGTATTTAATATGAAAAAAGTGAGCTAATATTATTATTAGCCTTAGAAATTTTAAACCCCTGGTAATTCTCAGAACACTGAAAATACAGTTTTTGAAGATCTATGGCTGGTGTCCAGTTTTCTAGATTACATAGTACAGCCACTGCAAAGGGGAAGGGCTGACATTAACAGTGTTGAGTGTTAACAGTGAGATAGACGATAGCTTTATTTGCAACAAAAAAATCAGACCAAATAAAATATATAAAATATATTTCCTCTAAGTTGAAAATTATTCCTTTAGCTACCTTTTTGTTTGGTTGGTTTTGTTTGTTTGCTTTCTTATTCGAGGTAGTTAATCAATATTTAGTTACAGGTGGTTTTTTTTAAGTGAAAATATTTTATGTTCCCTGAAGTCAGCCTGATCCTAATAGGTATTGATATAGTTATCACTGTTGATGTTTGAAGCTAATTGGCTCTTAAAGTGTCTTCATCAAATTGAGTTCACTTAAACTATAGTTCAATTAGACTTCATCTTTCTGGAACATAAACTGGGAATGAATTTTCAGAGGATTCAATACAAACTAACTAGGTTTTTTGGTTTATTTTTTTTAAAGTCATCATAATAAATCTTATGTATTTCTCTATTAAAGGGGAATCACACTGACTGGAAGTTTAGATTACATTTTCCCCCTGACACATCACTCCTGATGAATGGTTATTTGAGCTCCCTATGAAGTAGCTCCTCAACCAGCGCAGTTTTAAAGACTGAAGTTTTAAGGTAAGAGAGCATTAATTTTAGTTTGCCTTCACATGCCATAGTTTGGACAGGTAAAGTTGTAATTTTTTGATAGTCCTAACTTAATCTATGACTAATGGTTCTAAAATCTCAGTCTTTATTTTTGTTTTATTTTTCAGTCCAAGGAAATTCTTACTTCTTAATAAATAATACAAACTAGTTAAAAAGAGTTTGTACTGGTAGGTTGTAACTATAGTGAAAAATGGTATGATTCAGTATCATGGAGTTATATAAATTACAAATACATTTTACAACAAAGAATATGTTAGAGAAGAAAGCCTCTTGCACAACTGCAGAGCAAATGAAGAGCTTAAAAAAATTTTCCTAATTTGAGGAGTCCTGTAAATCTTTTGTGAAAACAAGAGATGGCAGTAAGAATTCAAATAGTCTTCTACCAGCTATATTTCATAGCAACAGTTTATAGTTTTTACATGTTTGAAAACAATCATAATTTCCTTGTATAAACACGGAACTCTCTGCAGTTCCAAAACTGCACCAAAACTAGATCGTCAATATTAAATTCAATTTTTTCATTCCACCAAGTAAGATTCTTTAAATGTATTTGCATCTGCATATGTTGTTTCAGCTACAATGTCACAAAATTAAAACACTGTCAGATATGCATAACAAAACAACTTACAGTTGTAAACTAAGGCATATTGTATTATGAAACAATAAGGTATATCAAATGATATCTTCTATGGGCTACATGTAATACTGCTAGAACTAAATATCATGAAAACTGCTGGGTTTTTTTCCTGTAAAAATAACAGTTCAATGGGATTTTAAAACCAAACTTACTTGATGTATCAGTATCTGTATCTATTAGAAACATAGTACATACTTATGTATGCATAAATATGTATATGTGTACATATGCCTACATATGTATACACAAATAATTATGTAATTCTTTATTTGAATTACATATACATATGTATACATATAGACATAGATATATGAATTACATTCACACATTTGTCAGGAATTTCATTCTAGAAAAGTAGTGATTTTTTTGCGAGACTCTCTTCCCTTCTCATCTGTCAGACTCTAGCGAAACAGTTAAGCAGTATTAAGATGAAAATTTAATAGTCTACAGAACATACAAGGGATGGCTACACAGAAAACCTTGACTTCTGGAGCTGAGATTCCAAATCTAATCATGCCATGATTATATACAATGGCAATTTAAAAAATATTTATTATTCACTCTGTCTTGAACATCAATTACAATTTTAATGTCTTGTTTCCGAGAACTGTCAACAAGTCTGCTGTGCACTTTTCCTAACTTCTATTACCTGAATGCCAGCACTTCCTGTTTACTCCTTCCACTGAACTGGTAGCGGAAAGTCTTTAACAGAACTTGCTAGGCAGAAGTAAATATCTTTGATTCAAATTGCATCCCTTTCTTCTGCAGGAATATGGATAATGATACTGTTCCAAACCAATCTGCATACTTCAAGGTCCTACACCTGGGTCGGCACAACCCCAGGCACAGCTACAGGCTGGGTGGAGAAGAGATTCAAAGCACCCTGTGGACAAGAACTTGGGGGTGTTGGTTGATGAGAAGCTTGACATGAGCCGGCTTCAGCGTGCGCTTGCAGCCCAGAAAGCCAACTGTATCCTGGGCTGCATCAAAAGAAGCGTGATCAGCAGGTCAAAGGAGATGATCCTGCCCCTCTACTCTGCTCTCGTGAGACCTCACTTGGAGTATCGTGTACAGTTCTGGTGTCCTCAACATAAAAAGAACATGGAGCTGTTGGAGAAAGTCCACAGAAGGGCCACAAGGATGATAAGAGGACTGGAGCACCTCCCGTATGAAGACGGGCTGAGAAAGTTGGGGCTGTTCAGCCTGGAGAAGAGAAGGCTCTGGGGAGTCCTCATAGCAACTTTCCAGTATCTGAAGGGAACCTACAAGGATGCTGAGGAGGGACTCTTCGTTAGGGACTGTAGTGGTAGGACAAGGGGGAATGGGTTTAAACTTAAACAGGGGAAGTTTAGATTAGATATAAGGAAGAAGTTCTTTACAGTGAGGGTGGTGAGGCACTGGAATGGGTTGCCCAAGGAAGTTGTGAATGCTCCAACCCTGGTGGTGTGCAAGGCCAGGTTGGACAGAGCCTTGGGCAACATAGTTTAGCGTGTGGTGTCCCTGCTCATGGCAGGGGGGGTGGAATCGATGATCTTAAGGTCCATTCCAACCCTAACTATTCTATGATTCTAAGAGACTAGCTAATCTTTTGCTTGCTCTTCTAAAATGACACATTCCTTCAACACTCTTCTTGTCCATCTTACATACTTGGGAGAATATCAGCACAGATTGCTAATAGTTACCTAAGCATAGAAAACCTGCATTTGGCTTTTTATGGTGGTTAAAACCTTGATGATCCACTGTGGATCATCAACAGGAAATTATGCATAATATGACACCTCCAAAGTACAAAAATTGTAAGTTATTTTTAATATTCTCATTAAATACAAGCTTTCAAACAAACTTGGAGAAGTTAGATTATTCTGTATTTCGCTTACAACCACTGAAGTCTTAAGAGGTCTTCAGTAGATAAAATTCTCAGAAGAATGAAACATATATAAGATAATAAACACCTGATATATTTTAAAATATGTGATTACTATTTACTTACATGATCCAAGCAACTAAAATATAGTTACTCATGCAATTACCTTTCCTGCAATTTGCACTTCCATTCTAGCTCAGAATGACACTATATAGTTTTTCAAAGCCCTAAATTCTTATCTCAAAAAACAAACAACAAATATTTTTACAAATTAAATACTTTTATACAATGCTAAATGTAAGTGGCAAATGTAAAGTTTTAGTGTACAAATAGTACCTATTTTCTTGTCAGATTATGTACTGGAAATAATAATGACCATGTACAGTAAAACCATTAAGCACTTATTAAGATTAGTTACTCTCCAGATAATTTATCATCTCACTAAATCCTATCCTGCAATAGCATATACTACATAAGTAAGTTTACTGGTAATCACGATTATCTCAGTGTGCTTCATCCCTAATTCACAACCAAATTAACTGACAATCTTTAATTTTTAAAATTGACTAATAAATAAAAGTAGCTATTCTTTGATTTAAATGAATCACAATACATAAATCAATTTCGAGATTCTAAAATTCATGATTATTAGTAAACATTGAGAATCTAGTTTTAAAAAGTTACTATTTTCCAGGGCATAAGATCCCCAAACAACTGTTTTAAAGTTATAATTAATAAAATTCAACTTAATTACAATAAATAAATTATTTTTAATAAAATAAATAGAATGAGTTCAAATAAAATATTGCAAATAACATAACTGAAACTAATAATTTACTAAACTTGAATAACTTAATAGCATTAACTTTAATAAGCTGAATAAAAGTGAAACAGATTATTTTTACACAAAACTGCAAAATAGATCTACAACTGTAAAAACGGGCACAACAAATTATTAACCAAATTAGTCTGATTTTAAATTTTACTCTGCATAGCACAGGAAGCAGGTAATAAATAAAATTAAATTATTAAATTTTACCATAAAAGACATCAGTAAATAGATGCAGACCTTATAGCAGCAATATGTCATAACAAGATAAAATATAGTTCCATTTTACATATTAAGAAAGCGAAGAAATACTAATATATTAATAACATAATTAGCAAGTTTGATAAAAAATTGTATAGATTTTCTGTTATTGCTCCATTGACTCTTTTCAGTATGTTTCCTGCTCTTGTATCAGCAGTGATTTAATTGCTATTTATATGTTTCAGTCATCATCATGTTGAGAAAAAGTTTATTGTTCCCAGCATTATGTCAGGGCAATTGCAAATCCAGCCAACAACTCACTTATTTATAAATATTTACTGTCTGCTGAGTTAAGAATAACACTATAAACCATTTTTTTCAGAAGAAACTTAGAAACTAGGATTTGGATTTCCTATAAATTATAAGTTGGTTAATTTCAACAGGCTTATGTGTTCATGACGTACAAACCTTTATTTACTACCCTTCTCCAATTATTAGTAGGTCTTATTTTATCAATGAAAACCATTATAACAATCATCCATGCTGAAGTAAATATATTGTTCTTTGGACTTCCCTGTGGCCTTTTCTATCTGTTACTAACATTATTTCATAATTGTTTACTCTAGAAAAGTAATTATTCCTAAAGGAAAAGGTCCAAGTAGAAGCATGGAATTTTTCTCCCTACTGTTGCAAGGAAATGCTGCCTGTTACATATGCCTCTGCCATACACACAGATGTGCACACCATAAAGAGAGACAGCCTGTCACAATCAAAACAAGTATACTTTCTCTTTTATTTTGAGTGGCTGTAACAGATCTTGTCTGCATAGTATCAAAATATGTTTTTAATGCTTTCACCTTCAGTTACTCCCATCTAGTTTCCCTATGCTTTGTATGTACAAAAATAAGAGAAAATCTAGACAGCGTTGATAAAATTGAAAGAACAAAGTATTTTGAGTTAATTAAGACTGCTATCAGTAGCACAATTTCAGAACAGTCCCAAAACAATACAGCAGTGCATATGAAAATAATTTCTGTTTTTGTTTTTGATTATTCTCTGCAGTTTTATTACTTACGGCAAATCTTCCAGTCTGGAGGCCTCGTGTCTTGGGTCTAACAGATCATAACCACATTCATTGTAGATCTCTAAGTAGGAAACATGAGTTGTGTATACTTTACTGCTATCCTGGGGAAAAAAATAAAAATTAGAAAAAGAGCTATCGAGAGAAGTCAGAGCTAGATCAGCAGACAAATTATCACTACAGCTTTAACGTTGCTTCCTCATTCTCTTTTTCTGAGCATGGTTTACATCTTCAATTCATGATACTTCTATGTTTTCTGTTACTGTATGCATAAAGGCTGAAGAAGTAAAAGGAAAAATTAACAAAAAAACTCTAATCAAAACTTACATACACAAACCCTCAAAACAGAAGTCCTCCCAGAATCCCCTCATGCCCATGAGTTTAGTCTGGGGGTTTTTTTGTTGGTTTCTAACATCTAGAAAAGTCTGTATACACTTAGAACATGGCAGTCTGCTTACAGAACCATACAACATGCCATTCTTCACTTCTATGACAAAAGAAGAATGTTATTATAAAGAAGTAAACCCTCATATTATGGATAGAAAGAAATAAGCTCAAAAAAACCAAAACCAAACCAAAACAACAACAAAAATAAACCAAAGATTTACTTTCTTTAGGAACATCAGGCACTTACTGCTTTCCACTCTCTTTATCATAACATTTAAGCACTGTATATGATGTCGGCTGTTTTCTGTATTTCTCTTTTTTTACATTGCCAAAATGTAACTTAACACAACTGGGTTTTGCAGAGAGAATTTTCTCCTGCCCCAAAGCCAAATCCAAACAACATAAACCACAAAATAATGGGCTATGATTTCCAAAGTAGAAGAAAATTAGTCACTTCTTTTCAGCAGATGAAGCCACTGTGAAAGTACTTATATCACACTCACAGTAGCAGTTTAATAATCCAATCCACTACAGTTATTTTGCAAAATACTGAGATACGAACTTTTAATTTTCACTGAATAGTTATTTCCCCTGGGTTTTTTTGTTGATAATGACAGTTCACTATTTCAAGGGGCACCATTTAAAAAGATACGCTACAGATGGATGGAAAAAATGTAGTAAGGAAATTACAGGAAGCTCTGGAATTTCAGACCAATAAATTAAAAAGAGATATTATTAAAAAAAAAAAGGTTTGATTTGCTTCTCATTTGGGGTAAAAAGTTTTGTTTCTTTGGTTTTAAATTGCACTGTCAGTGCAAGAAGAGCTTCAGAAGTCCCTGAATTCACTTTCTTCTGTTTCATCCTACTTAGACTTAGGAGGCAGATGACTTCCTCACTATGTCAGCAGTTTTCAAAGCACATTCATAGAAAAAAAGAAATTAAACAAGGCAAAGGTATGAAAAGAAAGGCAGGTGGAAAGATAAAACACCAAGAAGAGATGCTTTAAGATGCACCAAGAAAGAAAACGTATGAAACAAACACAAAGATTCGGAAACAAGCTGTCCTGGCTTCAGCTACAGCAGTCATTTTTTCTCCTTCTTAGTAGCTGGTGCAGTGCTGTGCTTTTTGACTTTCAGTCAGGGAACAACGCTGATAACACCGATGTTTTTAGTTGTTGCTAAGTCATGTTTACTCTGACCAAGGACTTTCTCAGTCTCATGCTCTGCCAGAGAGGAGGGGAAGCCAGGAGGAAGCAGAGGCAGGACACCTGACCCAAATCGGCCAAAGGGCTATTCCATACCACAGCACGTCATGCCCAGTATATAAACTGGGGGGAGTTACCCGGAAGGTCCAGATCGCTGCTCGGGTCGGGCTGGGTATCGGTCGGCGGGTGGTGAGCGGTTGTGTCCTTTTCCCTTGTTATTCCTCTTATCATTATTATTGGTAGCAGTAGTGGTTTGTATTATACCTTAGTTACTGGAGTGCTGTTATCTCAACCCGTGGGAGTTACATTCCTCCGATTCTCCCCCCCATCCCTCCAGGAGCGGGGGGAGGAAGGAAGGGAGGGGAGAGTGAGCGAGTGGCTGCGTGGTTCCAAGTTGCCGGCTGGGCTTAAACCACGACACAAGCAGACAGAAATATCCCTATAACTAACAGAGCTTTCATCCAAAAACCAGGCTGAAAATGGAAACTCAAACATTTTTATTTTTGTAGAAACTATGTGCTGAGAAGGCAGCAAATAAACTACTTATTTTTCATCCAATTTTGTTTTTATTACATAGTTAGCACTAGGAAAGAATGTTGGTGTTGACACTGTATGTTGCTGGCAATTGCACAATCAACCTGTGCACTTCCCATGACAAAGTCCTCCCTGGGGTCATGTGAGTTCAGCAGCAGGAGGTTGAAGGCAACATGATTCAGGGTTTCCTTTTTTTTCCTTCCCATTCACACAAGAGCCAGCTTTTGTGCACCTGCACCATGCTATGTACATTTACCTGCCAAAGCCATACTTTGCAAGAGCCAAGGTAATTACTTAATATTGTTAACTCTTACTCAGACAGGGCATGTTAATGTGATTGAGACATATATCGTTAATGAGTAAGAATTGGTATCCTCTATGAGACAGAGTATAACACTACAAATGTAATGATTGGTGTTAATGCCAAATAATATTTAAATTTGTTTAATTAAATAGCTTTGTTAAAATGGAAAGATTAATCTTTAATGAGTCATAGACCTGGTGAAGTAAATGAAGAAATAAAACATATATTACACCAGACTCCTCTCTTCCTTTCTTCCTTTTTGCCTTCTATAGTTGTGAAAGCCCCAAAATGATTTGCTGTATTTACTCGTATCAGTATTATACGTACTAAAAGAAGCTTCTTGTAAATATAATGAACAATCACCAGTGTGCTTACTTTGGCACATCCTTTCACTTATTCACTCATTTCATTACGTACAAATGTCAAACTGAAATAATTCTGTAATATTTTGGTTATAACCTGACTAACATACATACATCCTCCCACATTCTCCTTTAGAAAGAAGTTCTAATACCTGGACTGCCAATCACTCTATCATCAGCCAATTATTGCTGTTTCTCACAGTCCCTTTATATGGGGCAAAAAATAGGATACATTACTTAAGCTTCCTTTCCAACCTGTAGGCAGCAGGTCAGTCAGAAGACTTCCTATTCAATAAGAAATTTACTTATTAGAAAAATCAATGTAAGGAGATAATAAGGCATATTTGAGGCATGGTAAGACTCTTGCATATGGTATCACCATATCAACTTAGATATTTTCTTCAGCATTAATTTCAAGGCTTCCTCTAACATTATTATAAAAGCAGCATTTTGCAATACAGTTAACTATTTGTAAACCAGACATTAAAAATAAACAGAAAACAATGCCCCATACCTTCTGCAATTGATCAAAAATGTAAGACAGAGTCCTGGGAATGATGCCTCGATCACTGTAACGTTCTGCTCCTCCTGTGATGGTGAAAGTTTTGCCACTGCCTGTCTGACCATATGCAAAGATAGTACCATTATATCCTGCCAAAACACTAGAGAATAAAAAAATGTGGAGATAATTAATATATAAGGCATAACATTTTTTCCATTATCAACTTTGTATTGAATTAAAATATAATTACAGTAATTCTTAATTACGTAGCAGCTATCTTCAGTAATACAAGAATACACTTTAAGATATGTATTCTAGGTTCAATAGAATTACACTATCTAGAACTGAAGGACTTTGCCTTACCCCATTAATCAATATCATCATTAGCTAGTCATATTTGTTACTATTTTCATACATTTCATATACTGCATTTACAATCAGTGTAGTAAAAATCTTCATTTACCATGAAAACGCACAAAAACACACTTTTTAAGAGAAACTTTTCTCTTAGAACTATGTCTATACAAGAAGGTTCAGTAGAACAGCAATAGTAGCTGTATGTGATGGCTTAGCTTGAAATTACTTTCAGACTCAATTATCTTTTTTCACACCTTAGTTCTACTTGCAGAACTGACTAACAAAAGTCTTGTTCAAATCTTTCTCTAATTGCCCATACTCCCACCATTAACTTCCACCTGATTTCCACCAAACAGTAGATAAACTTAATGACAGTGGTTTAGCTGTGCACCACGGAGGAAATATAGGACATGGCTGCAGCCGATATGCAGCTCAGAAGCAATGGCTGACTAAACAGAAGTCTATCACGCATTTCCCTTGTACAGCTCTGTCTCATAAGACAAAAATACTAAAAATCTGTTTACACATTTCTAATTCCCTTTCTTGTTAATTGTTGAGAACTGTTCTGAACTTGACATATTTTAAGTGCTCCAAGATTTTATGCTTCATGCTGACTGACTAGAAACAATGAGGTAAAAAAGATGGAGGACAAAATTATTTTGAATTTTTCTTTGTCTGTAAAAGCAAATGAAAACTGAATAAAATTACAAAAAAAATATAGAATAATAAATTAAATAGCGATGAAATCAGTTATTGACTGTAATATTATGATGGAAAATCAAACCAGAACTCATGAGAGTCTATAGTTGACAGAATGTATGATAATGAAATCAGATTAGACTGTCAAGCTTTTTTATTTCCTTTCAGCAGCTGTGAATTACAAATTGTTTCCTGGATTCAGCCGTCTCAAAATTGTTCTACCACAATTCCAAAAAACATCTCCTGACAAAAAACACGAAGGGAGTATTTGAAAGAAAGTAGAGTAAGCAAGAAAGAATTATTTTCTTTATAAAACTTAACAGAAGCAAAATGTACTTTGGATTTGATTTACTATAGTTTAATACCTAAAAATTTAGCTAAAAATTTTCTTGTGCATTTTATTGAAAAAAACGATAATAAATAAGATTTTAAAAAATAAAAAAGGGGCAAGCAACCCTTGCATAAGAGGAAAGGAACCACATCTAGATAGCTGCTGCTGTGGCGCTGAAAGAGGTGCAATAGTACTCCAACTTACTAAAGTTTATTTAAAGGCCTGAGTAGCTGCCAAATTGCTTATTTTAATACATTACAGTAGGATGTTAGAGATAAAAACAGAAACATCTTGAAAGGAACTACATTGAACATCTGCTCCCAAAGACCAAATCACCCAAAGACACAGTATGTATAGATTTTAGATTCCAGATGTTAAAAATCAAAACAATTATTATTACCAAACACCTCATTCATCTGTCTTAGGAATTTCTAGTGCCCACTGTCAAAGTATCTGAATGCTGAAGATAGTAATGAGTTGTCACAAAGTAGGGGGTATCAAACAATGCTCAGAGATGGCGGATTTAAAAGAAGCAAGGGAAAATGATTCTTCATGCAAAATCTAGTTAAGCTGTGAAACTGCTTGCAGTGGGATGTTTTGCATGCTAAAAGTTCACACAAGCTTCAGTAGAGACTGGACTAATTCATGCAAAAAAAATAAAAAAATCTCAGCTACTAAACACAGAGAAAGCAGAAAATTCCTAAACTACAAATGACTAAGGGCTAACAGAATACTTGGGGAAGTAGCTCTACATGCTTTCATTGGTTTTTGTTTTGTTTTGTTTTTTCCTTGAACACTGATTGCTAGTCCCTGTGAGAGATAACATACTGGGTTTGATGGAACTGAAGTCTGACCCAGCACACTTGCTCTTCTGTTTTTACACCTCTGGTCTTCAGCTCTTCCAGATCCGGCATTTTGGGTTGTTAAGTTTTCCTCTCCTCTAATTCTTTAAAGTTGTTAAAGGTATACATTTTCAATTACTGTGACAAGGCTTCTGCAGAAAGGTGTGTTTTGCAATGTGTCTAAAAAGGTGGTAAAGGTGTGGATGCAAATTATTAACTTAAGGTCCCTGTACTTCACAAAAGGCTGTCAGTTAGGAACACCACATACGTAAACATAGGATAAAATATTTTACAAGGGAATGTAGTTATAGGACAAGGGGTAATAGTTTTAAACTGAAAGAGAGTAGGAAATTTAGATTAGTTATTAGGAAGAAATCCTTCACTGTGAGAGTGCTGAGGCACTGGAGCAGGGTGCCCAGAGAAATTGTGGATGCTCCATCGCTGGCAGGGTTCAAAGGCCAGGTTGGATGGGGCTTTGAGCAACCTGGTCTAGTGGATGTTGTTCCTGCCCATGGCAGGGGGCTTAGAGCTGGATAATCATTAAGGTCCCTTCCAATCCAAAACATTCTATGATTCTGTATGATACCATATGCTGGCAAAACATCTACAAAGGTCAGAGAGTTTTCTTTGTGTTATTTGGTTCATATATTTCTTATATTTATTGCAGTGCATTGGCACAGCTCTGAGTGGTTTCCCAGAAAACACTGAAAATTCAGAAAATATGAATATATCAATGTCAATAATGTATTCTCACAGTCCAGTGTAATAGGGAATATCATGTTGCACAGATGCACTATCAAAGTGCTGGTTATGATTCCACAGTTGAGTTCCACTTTAAAATCCAAGATCTAAGTCAATCTTTTTCTGTATATGTGTATATAGTTATACCTATAATTGCATCCTGTCCATATTTACAGCACACATTTCTTTCATTCAGAAAGAAACTGATTTTGAGACAACAAGAGGAGCGTGTATTTTCTGAACAGCATCAATCAAAAGGATCCCTGAAGATTCTCATCTGCAAATTAAAGCTGTCCCCAGTGGAACTGACTCTCTACTGGGGAAAGTGGTAGAGAGTTAGCAGCTCTTTCCTCCATATTCTGCAAAATGTACTTTGCAAGACAGCAGTTCACCCAGGCAAGATCTGCAGCTTTGCTTTTCAGATTCTCTGAACAAAAAACCTAAACTTTTGTTAAACTTAGTATTTGAAAGTACACAAATCGACACGGTTATTGATGGTAGTCTTGTGAAGACTTTGAAACATGCTATTTCAGAAAAAAAAAAAAACCAAAACAAAGAAGACACATAATCCAAGGAAAGGTTTTGCTGAAAAGATTTTTCATGAACTTATGCAATGTTGTATAGCGCCCTATTCAGTTCATGGACTGCTTCCAGACGGATCAGCTAAAATGTTACTGGAGAAATCTATTTCTGTTGTATTTTAGCAAAGTCACTCCTGTTATGATTGTCAGAGTTCCTAGAGGGCCATCCTTTTTTTTAGATGATACCAAGCTCAGAAAAATAAAAAAGCTTACTAGAGAGGAAAATATTTAAAATACAGTGACTAAAAATTGTACAAATTTGTACATTTGTTTCACAGTGTTAGGAAAGTTGGGAATTTCTTTTTCCTTACACACTAAAACATGAAGGCATATATTTGTTAGCAGTTTGTGATAGACTTAGCTTTTATGCAAAGACGAGAAAGTGCTATTTATCAAAAGCCAAATAAAACAATCTTTACATAGGAAAATGGTATTAAATTTACCTACAAAAATATTTAGGATTAGCTTTAAACCAAACAAATACAGAAAGAGATATAAAGAAGTCAGTTTCTAACAAAGAATTTGTTGTTTCAGCTTTGCTTCTACTGCTTTACAACCACATATGCCATGTTGTGATCTGAAAATATGGACCAACTTAAATGTGTAAAGGAAAAACTTAAGTTGTCATGTGCATAAGCAGTCACTCCAACATGTTGTACTTCGTACCTGTGAACAAGATTCACTGAACATGGACATGGCCTGAATTTCTGCATGTAAAGAAGTCTCAAAAAAATTGCCCAAGACCTCAAATTCTGGGAAGATAAGGTTTGCAGAAAAAGATGACTTTTCTGGGAAAACACAGACATATAGTAGTTCTGCAAACAATCATATTTCAATCCGAATTAATATACTGAGCTGTCTTCATATCTTGTTATTAATGTATAGGAGATCTCAGTTTCATGACTGTCAAGAGAGGCGCAAAATGGTCAAACTCTGTAAATTCAAATGGATCGAAGAATTAAATAAACTGAATCTTAATATTTTAGATTTAACTCACAATGCCAGAATATTAGGATTTCCCAGATTTTGCAGCATAATTAATAATTGCATCAATACTTGGTAAATACATATTTTAAAGTTGTATATTTATTTTTGTATTTCAGTGAAAATACATCTGGTCAAACCATACAAAGACTCACATATTACAAAGGTATATATAATGAGAAAATTGTAACACATGCTGGATATATTATTTTGAAATGGAAATGTGACTATATTACATATGTTTGTTGTACATAAAGGAGTGTTAAATGAAAAATTTTAGTCTTGCTTTTAATCACTTGAAAAATCAATTTAAAGCAAAATAGTGGTGAGCATACACACATCATGATTACCTGCTAAATATTCTGAATTAATCAAGAATTTAAGTAATAAGCAGGTCTGTTTCATAAAGTTGATATCATTAAAGAACCTAAAATTAGACAACAATTATTTCCCTTGGTGGAAATCAGAATAAGGTAGAAGAGGAATTTAAAAAAAAAAAAAAAAAAAAAAAAAAGCATTCATAAACCAAGAGGAAAATGGTACCAACAGCTAATATCAATTTAGTATTGATTTGTTACAGTCCTAAACCTTCATTATCCTTTTTTTCTGCAGTATAATTTCTAATCTATTATATGCCCACTTCAAGATGATTTTAACATATGAAAAAGTTTAGACCTGTTCTTACATTTTACTCAAAGAACTGAATGCTTCTTCTCTGGTTAAGCACTGAAAAATTATTGCTGATTTTTAAAAACACAACAGCTTGTGCTTGACCTTACAAAGCTAATCAGCAACATTTTTAAACACAAAGAAAATATTCAATGATGTCCCCTATATTGCACAGAATTGAAAGCATATTTTTTCCAAGCTAGAAGTAGTTTGTTCACACAACTGACTGAAGAGAGTAATCTGATCACACTGTTATATAAACCTAACCATATATTATGACAGCAACATAATTTAAGCATGATGTGATGGGATAAAACAAAATATTTTAAGTTTTACCTCTAAGCTATGACACAGACTACCAAAAAGTCTCCCACAATGGCAATCTTTGAAACAGAAAGTGCAATACGTTCAGTATTTTTCTAACCAGATTATTAAAATAACCAGAAGAAATATAGAAAGCACCAAGAAAGACTTCTGCACCTTCAAAGTATCACTAAGACAATGATCCAAAGCTTATTCAAGTCAATGACTACCTTTCCAATAATCTCAGAGTTTTAGGTGGGATCCAAAGCACAGGACAATTTTATGCAGATTTTTTTTACTTTGAGACACCGATTAAAAAAATAAAAATTAATCATTGATTAAAATAGCAAGGGTTCAATATTTTAGAAGTTCCCTTATCAGTGGTTGTGGAAAAAAAAGTCCTCAGAGTCCAGAGAGAAAGAATTGTTTATAAGAAATAGTCAATACACGTAAGGACTTAAGACCATAACACTGTAGGTGCAACTATGACGAGAGGTAGCATCTTTTATTAGACTCACTAATATTGGGGGAAAACATGACTAGTCTCAGGGCTTCAGTGGGTTACTGGTTTTTTGGTTACATTAGAAAGACCCTGCTTCTTCCCATATATCTTGCTAAGCAAAAGCTGTTCATACAACCTTGTATCAATTATTAGGCAGAGAACGATTTTTATGGACTCATAAATGAATTGCAATTAAAGGAGAGCAATGCCATGTTTTCTTCCTGTCAAATTTTCTCACTCAGTTATCAGTTAATTGACACTTTAACTTACTCATAATTAGTGGCAATTCAAAAACATGAACAGTGAGAAATTAACTTTTCATTTAAAAATTCGTTTCAGATACCCATTTAAATAAAGGGATGTTGGAGTTATGTACTGGCATTTTCAGTCACTCAACTGACTTGCCTCATGCCTGAAGGATGTCTAATTCCTAAATATAGGGTGTGATATAGAAGTATAACTCATGCAAGCAATTCCATTTAAATTGATAAATATGTTATGTTCACAATTACTTAGCATTCTTCAAGGGAGAAATTCCTTAGATGAGAGCTAGACAATTTATGGGTAGTTACTACAGTTTAAAATATCATTCAGCACTTTGTCCTTGAATATCCGAGACAATATAAATAGTGGTATAAAGTCCAGTGACAGTATACAGAGGTTGAAAGCAGACTGAGGTTGTTTTATTGTGGTTGGTTTTTCTGACTACATTTTGTTTTAATTTTCAGTGAGGATCATTTGTTCTATTTAAAGTTCATGGACACAGAACTTTTCATTTGTTTCTATATTCATTGTTATCGAGACTTCACGGAGGACTGTCCTAAGTATAACAAAGAACTTTGCTTCCTCTGCCGCTACACTGGTTTTGCTGAATCAAACAGAACAATTACTATCAAAGTTTGAAAAAACAAACAAACAAACCACCAAACAAACCCAATTCACCAAACTCTCTGCCCTGAGTTGTGTGCAGTTTTGGACTCCTCCATGGAAGAAGGATCCTATAAGGAAACTGAAGTGAGCCTGACAGAACCAAGTTAGTTTGGGCTGGAACACAGCACACACATGGGAAAGCCAAGGGAGCTGTTTTCTGTCAACCTGGAGAAGACAAAGCTATACATGCACCTAACTACCACCTTCTATTATACAATGGATCATTACAGAGATTGACTCAAACTCTTTCCAGAGACTTGCAGTGGTAGGACAAGAGGCAGCGGTCACAAGTTGTGACGGGAAATTACAAGTAGGTATAAGGAAAATGGTCTTCACAGTAACAGTAGTTAAGCCCTTTAACA